TTATACGACCTCATTTCTACAATAAATCAAAAAATTAGCCTGCAGTTCCAGCTACTTGGAAGCTGTGGTGGAAGGCTGCCTGAGCTCAACGGGTCGAGGCTGCAGGGGCCGTGAGTAGCATGCCACTGCACTCTAGCCTGGACAATAGAGTGAGACTCCAACTCAAAAAAATTACAAATTGAAAAAATATTTGGACATTAAACATTTTACTTATGAAATCATAAATTAATCAATGCACTCGTTGCGAAAACATTTGTAACAATATAGCAGACAATATATAAAGAGTTCATTCATAAAAGCTACTAACAATTTATTGAAGCAGAAACATACTTTTTTTTTGAGTCAGTCTCACTCTGTCACCCAGGCTGGAGTTCAGTGGCACACTCACAGCCACCACAGCCTCGACCTGCTGGGTTCAGGGGATCCTTCGGCCTCAGCCTTCCTAATAGCTGGGACTACAGTCTTGCACCACCATGCCCAGCTAATTTTTTATTTATTCATTGTAGAGATAAGGTCTTGTCATGTGAGAGGACTCAGTCAATCCTTTCACCTCGGCCTCCCAAAGTACTGGGATTATAGGTGTGAGCCACTGTGCTCAGATTTCCTTCTTTTTTTGAGTTGGAGTCTTACTCTGTTGCCCAGGCTGGAGTGCAATGGCATGCTCATGGCCACCACAGCCTCAATCTATTGGGTTCAGGTGATCCTTCCACATCAGCCTTCCAAATAGCTGGAACTACAGGTATGTGCCACCACACCCAGTTTTTTAAAAAATTTATTGTAGCTGGGCTCAGTGGCTCAGCCTGTAATCCCGTGCCTTTGGGAGGCTGAGGCGAGTGGATTGCCTGAGCCCGTGGGTTCGAGACCTGCCTGGGCAATTTGACAAGACCTCATTTCTACAATAAATCAAAAAATTAGCCGGGCGTGGTAGCGCGCCTGTAATTCCAGCTACGCGGAAGGCTGAGGTGGAAGGATTGCCAGAGCCCAGCAGGTCAAGGCTGCAGTGGCCGGGAGCGTGCCACTGCCCTCCAGCCTGGGCGACAGACTGAGACTCCAACTAATTAAAAAAAAAAAAAATTTATTGTAGAGATGAGGTCTCACCAAGTCGCCCAAGCTGGTCTCGAACCCGTGGGCCCAGGCAATCCTCTCCCCTCGGCCTCCCAAAGTGCTGGGATTACAGGCTTGAGCCACCGTGCACGGACTAAATTTTTTGATTTATTGTAGAGATGAGATCTTGCCAAGTTGTCCAGTCTGGTCTCAAACCCCTGGACTCTGGCAATCCTCTTGCTTCCGCCTCCCAAAGTGCTGGGATTACAGACATGAGCCACTATGCCTGGCAGGAATTTTTTTTAATATAATGGAATCTTTTGTATCTTCCAAAGCCAGTATCATTTTCTGTTTTGTTTTAATTTACTTTATTTTTTTTTTTTGAGTCAGATCTCACTCTGTCACCCAGGCTGAAGTGCAGTGGCACCTTCATGGCCAACGCACCCTCGATCTGCTAGGCTCAGACAATCCTTCTGCCTCA